TCCAGGTTGTGGATGGGTCCTCAATTACAAAGCAGGACTGTTGGTACTGCATTGTACAGTACATGAAGTCATCAGTGTGTCTACGACCAATGGAGCATTGAAGGAAAGCAACTTCAAATGAGAAGAAGTTGCATGGGGAAGAGAATATCTGTAGGAGCAAGGGAAAAGATAAATAAAACAGCTTTTTATGGTATGCTTTATTTAAAGAACTATGGGATAGCTAAAAAAAAAAAAAAAAAAAAAAAAAAAAAAAATCACCCACTAAACATTTAAAGTGTTACTAAACCCAGGACCCTGCATTCACTTTATCTGGTCTCCCACAGTACATGGAAATGCAATCGGTTTAGTAAATATAAATTGCCTTTTTTCATCAGTGACTTGTGACTTCTATCCGTGTCGAGCTGAGCACTAGTTAAAGCTTGGAGGAGGAGTTTGTATTCACTTATGACTGCCCTATGAGGCTGCATAACTCCTGGTCCTCTGCCTGGACAGTGCCGATTGGCCCTGCACTGATCACATGCACCCTCCCAAAGAACAAAAAACTCTCTAGCAATACACACTAACCTGAGCATGTGCAGAGTGACTCCAAAGACTGTGTTATTAGGAGATGAGTTGGGGAAAATGGAAGAAGGGGAGATCAGAGAAGCTAGGATTAAACAGCCTTTTTACACAATGAAAAGGTGTAACAGCAGGGATTACATCACATCCTCTCCTCTCTCTCTCTCTCTGCAGTAAAAGGAAACTACAGTTTTCATCAACCACAGGGGAGTGTAGTGAATGTGGGTGGGTACACTAGGCCTGTACATATTTAATGTGTGTGAGAGTCTTGGGCCCACCACCAGAAATGGGGCTGAATTACATCCCTGCTTCCAGGAGGAAGATTTAGAGAAGGGATGTGCCTACACCAGTTGCTTGGGGGATAGCAGCCGCTGGTCTTACGAACAGGAAACCAAAAAGAATTACCGGTTTGATTTGAAAATGAATAGGCTATTTCACAGCAACTACTGACTGAACCAAAAGATGGATGACACATTCAGTGAAGGTAGAAAATCAGCAAGGACATGTAAAGAGGTATTTGCCTGGAGTTCTGCTTTAAGCTTTTAAGAATTTCAGGAAGAAATGTTTGAGCAATGGCTACAGTGCTGATCTGTGTATTTTTTTACAGGGAAGGTGTCCCCCGGCTGTCACTATACAATGGTGCAGTAATGAGGATTCCCCCATTCACCTCGAATGTGTGGATGAGGAAATCAGTTCATTTTTTTTTGTTCAGCCCCTGACTGAGTCATGTATGGCCAGCTTCAGTTAGTTATTTCATATTTTTTCACCCCTTCTATCACCAGAAAATTTTTTCAGTTTGCAGCTCTACAATACTTTTACCAACAATTACTTTGCCGTGCAACACTGTGCCCAAATAAATTTTATAATACCTTTTTTTTAAAAACCGATAGATCTTTCATTTAACAGTATTAAATGTTTATTTCATGTTTACTATGAAATTATAAAATTTGGAAAAACAAACCCCCCCCCAAAAAAAAAAACAACAGTTCTTACTTTGTTATAAAACAGCAATAAAATGGCAGGAAAGTACAAATACCCCCCAAATTACCCCATTTTTGGAAAGTAGACACCTCAAGGTTTTCTGATTTTTTTGCCATCTTTTTGGGAAATATAGAAATGCTGCAGTACTGAGTTAAAACAGGACACTTAGTAACAGTGCACTAGATATTTTGAAAGTACAGGTCATGCACAGATGGATCAGAAAGTGAAGGGGTTAATGTACAGCTGTGCAGGAATATGAAGGTAAGGGGTTTTATATGCAGGTCAGATCAAAGACAGAATGGGGCACACAAATACTGTATGCAGCACATGATATTAGAGGGGTGTATTTTTTAATTTTTACAATCTTCCTGTGATGCACTGGTGCTAGCTGGTGATCAGAGGGTTTCTTTATTATTACACTCCAATCCATGTGTTAGAGCAAACTGTGCTAGCGCCAGGCAGCCTGTGTACGGTTTGTAATATTGTGATTGGTCACAGCAATCACATGGTGCAGAGCCACTCCTACTGGCTCTGTATCTTTTATATACAATCATCTGTATCCATTCATAGGGTGATCACAGGATTGTGTGAAAGCAGGTGTACACAGGAGCTCAGTTTCCAAAGGATGTATTGGTAAGTCTTCCCGGTACCAACAATTTATGTACAGTGCCTGGTTCCCAAGTGGTTAAATAAAGTACTTTCTCAGCCTGATTTGCAAAGTTGCAGTTCTTTTGAGTTCTTTCATCACAATCTGTGAAGAAAATCTCTGATGCTTTTAAGGGGTTGTTGCACCAGTTCCACCAATCTATGGGTACCCTCCATTGGCACATTAAAAATTATTTTTGAGTCATCTATGGGCCACAGTGACTTCTGTTCCTCTTTGCCCTTGCTTACTTCCCAATAACTGACACTGGCATGAAACTAAAATTGCTGTTTTTTCTGAATCAATGCATGATGCCTCTAATACACTAAATGCTGACAGGCTTTATTTGTTTAAGTTCAGGTTACATGATCTGAGCCACGTTCTAGTTTGTTGTACTTCAGATAGTGGTTCAAACCAAGCTATGGACAAAACAGCTTGACATCAGTTATTAACTAAGAGTCATAATGCAGTGGCCCAGAATAGTATGTTTGATGGTTGCTACGGTCAGCTACTAACAAGAAGGCGGGTGGGGTAGGTGAGAGAGGCTGCCATGGCCTGTGAATGACAAAAAATAAAATACACATCAACCTTTATGGTTCTTCCTGTAGGTTGTTGTATCTGTGACAGAAAAAAACTATTTCCTGGTAGAGCTCCATAGTAAGAAAGCTAAAATACTCTCTGGAATACTATTACTGAACTCCACTTAAATGCCAATCACAATTTCAGAATCAGCCCTCACGAGAAACATCAGACCCACATTTCTGAAGGTCTATAGATTGTGTTACAGCTTTCCAAATGATTTCATGGTTTTACTTTGTTTTAAATATTTTTAAGTTAAGTATGTTTTAAACTTTGTGACTGCGTTTCAAGTGCCTGCTGAATATACTGAAGGAAAGATGTAAAGTCCTAGGTGATTTGACGCAGTAATCCCATTTAGCTGTGCTGTGGTGGAACTCAAGAATGAGCAAAGTGCTAGGTGGAAGAATAAGAGCAATAGGCAATTGCCTGAAAAACTAATAATCAGGAGGCTGTAACACAAGCACTTATAGACCTTCAGAAATGCGGGTCTGACATTTCTGGTGAGTGCTGAATCTGATGGCCATTTGTATGTAATTGAATACTTGGCTGTTGGAGTACTATTGTTATCTGGTGACCTAGGTGTGGGTGAATAAACCGTGGCTGAATGTAAATGCATGCAAGTGTGGTGTTGAAATTTGTAGCTGATATTAGGAGACTGGCTTTTGCATAGAAATTGAAATAAGTGCAGCGCTAAAGTGCGAGTAGTCCAGGTAGAAAGATGACATAATTCATATACATGATAAAAGTCCATCAGACGTGTATATAAAGAGCTCAGAGTGACTTCAAATATCCCCAATTCATCAGTTCCTCAAAATCGGTGAGAGGCAGAGTATAGATAAAATACGCACTCACCGGACGCGCAAAAGGTATTGCACAGTGTATAAATAAATGGGAGGTCTACCAATGGGTCCCTCTCAGGATGGAAATGGAATCAGTCTGGGATGGATGATGTCAGGATGAAATATTCAACCGGGGGTCCACTTTAAATATTATTAAAAATTAATATTTCATCCCGACGTTATCTATCCATCCCGGGCTGATTCCATTTCCATCCTGAGAGGGACCCATTGGCAGACCTCCATCTATTTATACACTGCGCAATACCTTTGTGTGTCCGGTGAGTGCGCATCTTATCTGTACTCTGCCTCTCACCGATTTTGAGGAAGTGATGAATTAGGGATATTTGAAGTTACTCTGAGCTCTTTTTATACACATCTATGACGGGCTTTTATTGCGTATATGAATTATATGTCATCTTTCTACCTGGACTACTCACATTTTAGCTCTGCACTTATTTCACTTTATATGTCGTTTTGAAGGTTTATGGTTTCCTTTATTGTGCATGGCTGCTTGTTTATATTGAGCGCTCGCTGAGTTTTTATCTTTTTATGGCTTTTGCATAGAGTTTGCTATCTTCACATATTGCAAAATACACATTCAGACATTATATAGAACAACAATTCTGCTCTTTACACAATCCATTACAAACCCAAGTGCAAGCCTACATAACAAAGACACCTCAGATAAGCATTAGACAGAAACAATCGGGCAAAGAGTGCAAACCAAAATATCTAGCTGGTAAATATAGTACATCATCAAACCTGAAAATACTACAAGTTTTTTGCGCAATTACAACTTTAGATTCCTAAGAGGATAACAATGTTTCCCTCCACATTCATGTAAAGACCTATTACCACAATGCAACTGAAAAATGCATAATCGTTAACTGAATAATTCACCAATTTGCCACTAGTTCCTTTTCCACTGATGGTATTAACCTCCCTAGCGGTCTGATTATGTCCATATTTCTGTGCTCAAAGCGGTACATTTTTTTGCATGGAAATATGTATTTTTTTTTATTGTAGGCCTGTAATTTTTAGGAATAACTCACTGAAATCTGTCCGAACAAGAGTCTAGTAAACATCTCGGGTATGATAAAGTTTGAAACACGAAATCATAAATTATAATTTAATCATAAAAATAATGTAATAAATTTAATTCAAGAATATAATCAAACCAAAAAACACTGACATTTGAAATATAGCGCCAAGTTCGCACATCACTGAGCAAAGTCGCAAAATCGTTTTCAGTGCCTCATGACAAATTTCCCCACAAATCATTATCACTCAATTCTGCAAGTGGTTCTGATTTACTATCGCTGTTCTCTAGCTGGTCTAAAACCACTTTTGACCTAAAGGGACGCTTTTTGGACACCATGGACTTTTCTAAAGTTTCCAGGCAAAAAGAACAGTCAAAATGCAGGCAGGGCACAGGACAAAGCAGTAGGGACAAAATGTATGTGAAATGGTTTGATACAGTAATGTTTTACTATGTCAAATTCATTTCTAAGAAAATTTTCAAAAAATTTAGAAATTTGCCGCTGTTCCGTCCCCCGTACGTCCTGACGCTCGCAGGGACCGGAACACGGAAGCCGGCATCGGCCGGAGGAGATGGCCGGGGACACTGCAGGGGACGCATCGCGGGAACGAAGGACAAGGTAAGCGCTGCAGGGAATCCCTGAGCAACGCCGCATGGTAAGCCTGAGTGTAGCTCGGGGTTACCGCTTTTGGTACTGAAACTTTACCCCGAGCTACACTCAGGAATACCGCCAGGGAGGTTAAAAAAAAAACAAAAAAAAAAAAAACCACAACTTGTAGCTTGTAAGTCCAGTATAGATGTGCGTGCCTTCTAAAATTTCCTCATTTGAATTAAGCTTTTGCAGCCAATATTCTGTACATGTTGTTCTAGAAGAACCTCAGTGCTGTAAATCCCTTGCAGAGATTGTGACAATGTTTTAAAGAATAATGAAGTAGGGACACGTGTTCTTTATTTCACAGCACTCATGGTCAGGTTCACAAAGTGAGTAAACTTCTACCATTGTCATAAGGTTATCCTTTCCCAGAAGACATCCTATATGACTAAGTGTGTGGGGAAGAGCCTCTTGCTCACATCATCACATACTGGAAATGACACAGACGTTACTGCTGTTTGCTAGCTAATGTGGGATTTCATTGCACAATACTGTTTTTATTACATGTGAGTGAAATATTTTAAATAACGATATCGGAAGATTTTTTAAATTATGTGGGACATTTGAATGTTTGTTTCTCCCCTGAGCACCGGAGGTGGTGGTTTGAAGAATGCTGATGTGTGATGGTTCCGTGGAGGGAATAGATGGATGCCATTAATGACTAATTGTATTTGCCATGCTGTCTATGACTTCTTTATTTAGGGGGTCCTATTTATTTGTTAAGCCTCCACTTTACCACTATCCAGGTGGTTTGGATACACTTGGCACCTTTCATGGATGAGAAGGATTATTTAGTCTTTACACTTAAAAGGGGACACTCTTATTCCTAAATTGTGTGGACTTTGTGCTATTTTCACATAGGTTTTTGAAGCATTTATTCTTTTCTATAAAATATATGGATGAGTTTGAATATTTACATATTACCTTATGGCATCATACATTTAATTTGTAATTTATTTTATGAATGGTATTTTTTTTTTTCATAATGCTTTTATTGAAAAAGGAGAATCAATGTAACAGTATCAATAATATAAAGCCAAATACAGTGCATACAGTACATGATTTTGCGCACCCATGCCACCCTGTAGCAGTATTTCTGCTAGAGGGTGGTCAGGAAGCGGTTTGTGTTACGGTGCTGCGTTACTTTAACTGACAATTATGCTGTCATGCAACGCTGCACCAAAATGAAAATTAAGTCTTTTTTTCCCCCCACAAATTGAGCTTTCTTTTGGTGGTATTTGATCGCCTGTGTATTTTTAATTTTTTGCGCTATAAAACAAAAAGGACCAACAATTTTTAGAAAAAAAAAATATTTTGAACTTTTTGCTATAAAACATGTCCAGTAAAAAAATTTTATAAATCAAAGTTCGTCATAAATTTAGACCAAAATGTATTCTGCGACATGTCTTTGCTAAAAGAAATCCCAATACGTGCAAATTAATTGGTTTACGTGAAAGTTATATCGTTTACAAATGGTGGTATAGATACTGGGATTTTTTTTTTTTTAATACTAATAATGGCGGCAATCAGGGACTTATGGCGGCAATCAGCAACTTATAGCAGCGATCAGCGACTTATGGCAGGACTGTGGCGGACATTCTGACACTTGGGGGGGGGGGGGGGGTACTGACCCAGTGACACCAATACAGTGATCAATGCAAAAAAAAAACCACTGACACTGTACTAAAGGCACTGGGGAGGAAGGGGTTAACATTAGAAGGCAATCAAAGGGTTAACTGTGTGAGGGGATAGTTTCACTAGGGAGCGGGGGGGTATGTGCTTCACTGTAAGCACACTGATCCGGAATGCTGAGCTCAGCGATCTGGATTAGTGTGCTCAAACTGACAGGGAGGAGAGCTGCATTGTAAACAATGCAGCCTTCCTCCCTGTCAGTGTTTGCTAGTAATTGCCGGGCTCCAGCGGGTAATCACCAGCCAGGACCTGGTGATTGACACCCACAGCCGTGATTGGCAGCGTGGTCACTCGCCTCTTGCGCACCCCCTACCCGAAATGCAAAATCACATATATATACGTAATTTTGCACAGCGGTGCTGACCTGCTGCAGTAAATGTACTGTGGTTGGTCGGCAAGTGGTTAAGAAGGAACATTTGCTGCATGTACACAATGTGAAAAATATTTAGCCATAATTACCAGAGCCTGATTTTAAAAAGGGAAAATGCGACTGCTGTATCATTTGTTCTGTTTTTAACATGTTGCAATTTACACTCTTTGCACGTTCGCTGTGAATTAAAAAAAGGCTAATCAGCAATATCAGCAGGGGATCAAATACTTATTTCCTTCACTGTATGTATAAAAGGTCATTCCTCACAAATATAAACTCAAAGAAATTGTGACAGTGGAAACCTATTGGTAAGTTGCAGGGAAAATAGCATAGTTACCATCATTTTCAACAATTGTGCAAGCACTCTCTTGCCCTTGTATCTGGCTAAGTTGTAGCTTTCGCTCACCTACTAAAAAGGGAGTTCTGTTCTCGGACAACTCACAGGTTATAAGGGAAAATCATTCAATTATTGTGGATTTCTTAGAACGGTCCTTTCATGATTTTTTATTGTTCACAAATTATTGCACCTTTGTGCTATTGTTCATCAAGAATCTGCTGTAGTTTTCCAGAGAGGGTGGTCTGCCTTTCACCCCCTCTGATTTAGTAAGATATTCCCTTTGCTTTAGGGTACAAAAGGAATATAATAGTTGTGTTCTTCTCTTTTATTCCTTACTGTGCAGCAGGTTAAGAAAAATGATTTGCTGTAAACTGTATAAAAGTTTCTTATCTGGAGATCTTGTCCCTAACAGCACTCCTTGTGGACTGGCACCACTAAGTCACTGCCTTATGATTAGCGGAAGTGTTGTCAGCCTACCATACTAGCTCCTTCAACTGACTGTTTGTCTGATAAACATGATAGGCAGCCCAGTAGCCAAATGAATGAACAATTGCAGTAGGCTGACAATGCTGCTACTAATTGCAGATTCACAAAACAATACTGTCCTATGAAAACTGTACACAGAGACATGATGGCAAACTGAACAGGCTTATAACACTGCTTGAGAATTCAGTACAGCAAAGGCGGAAAGCATGGGATGGTAATAGCCTACTGGATTTCTGGCAGGATCAACTGATAATGGTTTGTACTTGCAAGATTTTGTAAGAGACAAAGCTTGAGCAAATGTGCATGTGTTGCAGAGATGTACTAAATAGATTTTTTCCATGCATAGACTTTCAGTCCCACCTTCCCATGCTTCCTGTCTCTTTTTCTTCCCATATATATACTCCTTGCCAGAGGTGATTAGTCACATAGGCCCAGGGGCAGACTGACCATTTAAGCACTGCCCGGGGTCAGTAGGGGCCCCATAAGATGCCCTTGGTACCTTTCATTGGCTTTTTCATAGCTTTTTTTGGGTGTGGGCAAGGACACAGGGGCCCCATGATCCCCTATTGCCCGGGGGCCCCATGAGTTGTCAGTCCGCCCCTGCATAGGCCTACATCTTTTATATAGCCTGTTTGTAATAGTCATTGTGAAATTTGAAGTAAAATATAATGACTCCATTTGCATCCATGGATCATTGTTTTAAATGTCTTAATTAGGAAATACAGACAATTATAGAATCCTAGTACCATGTGTCTTTTTCTTGCAATTGCCATACGTTTGCAGCTGAATAAAAAATTCTAAATCTTCAAGAACTTTATTCTTACACTTTAGTTCTGGCTGCTGTAACTACTACTTAACCCCTTCACGCCTAAGGGTAAAACAAATCTTAATGCCTAAGCGTAATTTTGCAACATTGACATGTGTTAGTAAAACCGTACATATCATCACCACTACTTTGTACATCCAGGTGCATTATAACTTGTTTTTTTTCAGGACGAATTGGGCTTTCATTTGGTGGTAAATGCTAATGGATATCTCCTGATTTTTTTTTTTATTATCAAAAACGGAAACTGACCCAAAATAGTAAAAAAAAAAAAATTTTTTTTTAATTTAGTTGTGTGTTTCTTGTTACTACCATAAGCTACCACCAAAGAACCCAAAATAAATTCTCCAGCTCTTGGCGATCACAGTGATTCCATATATGTGTATGTTATTTGTTGTTTGTACCCGTAGTACAGCCCAGAAATAAAATAGTGTCAGTGTGTTTTAGATAAAAAAACAAAAATGTGCACTAACACTGATACCATTTTTTTTTAATCCTGACCTGTGACCCTGACCTTGACCCAAACACTTACTCTGGCACTCAATGAGATCAAACCTTGATCTAGGTATTTTTTCTCTCTTTTTTTTTTTTTAACAAACATTTTTTTCCCTCTATGCCAGGAGTTAGAGGGATACAATGTGTCTCTCTCCTCCATTCAGAGAGAAAAAAAAAAAAAAAAAAGGGGGACCGGGCCGGCTGTACAGTGACTGATCACTGTGATAGCCAATCAGAGGCTATCACAGCAATCATGTGACCTGGAATTAGGAGTCCTTGGTCCTGATCGTTATAACGGGACTCGGGGCTCTCAGCGACACCGCAGTCTTTGTGCTGGGAGCGTGCCATGCGGCACGCTCCCAGCAGAAAGACAGGTACGCAAATATGAAGCCCCACGGAAAAAAGCCCAGTTCTGTGAGGCCGCATATTTCTGTTACGTCAGCATCAAAGGGTTGATAAATATTACCAAAAATATTCTTTTTTATTGAATTGCTTTGTAACTTTACAGATCGAGAGTAGGGAATATAGAATGTGATGGGTATGCATTAGCCAAATGGCGTGTGTGCAAAAGGTAATTAGGAGGTAGAGCACACAACAATAAAAATCTTGCTCAGAAGTTGCAGTAAAGAGGGGACAGTAATGATTAAGGTTTAGAACTGGAAAGATGGAGATAAGAGTAGGAGCGCAGAAGATTTATAAAAGAGGTACCGGTATGTAGGAGGGATATCCTCATATGGACCCTGTTTATTAACTTAAACAATCAACACCTACAGCATCAAAAAGAATGTTTATGGAAATCCTGTACTCCCTACTTGCAGATTTTTCTTCTGCATTGTAATTACAAA